AGTGCAGCCCCACATACCCTGTTTTCCTTTCCATCTCATGCCAAAAGTGCTGCCCTGTGAGCAGATCCCACTTGACCTGGGAGGCTCCTAGAGTTGGAACTCACAGATGGTGCCAGGCCAATCCTCGCCATCTTACCCTGGGGCTGACTACAAGGCTCTGGAGCTGGGAAGGAGCACTCAGAGCTGCTGAGAAGAGCCTGCTGTCAACTCTGGGGAGGGACCAGGCTCCACTGGCCGCCTTGTCTTGTCCTGCTGGGTCCAGGCACATCCAGCTCCTGGCCCGCTGCCACGCACCCAGCTCTCTACGTCATTGAGAGGTTTTCTGGTCCGGTTTCCTGTCTTTCTCAGCCTGAGTCCCCAACAGGTGGGAGGAGCTGGAGGGGCTTCCCCTGGGCTGGCAGAAGGGCCACTTTGTTTCTCCAGCAGTCGGGAAAGTGGGCAGAGTGGGCAGATAGGCCAGGGGGACCCCACAGTGTCACTCACACCAGCTATGCTTTGGCCACCCCTTCTTGCTTCTTGAAAGGAAAAGATGGCTAGTGTGGTGGCTCATGCCTGTGATCCCAGCACTTGGGAGGCTGAGGCAAGAGGATTACTGAGAGTTCCAGACCAGCCTGGGCTACATAGTGAGTTTAGTGAGTTTAAGGCCAGCCTGAACTGCACAGTAAGACCTATCTCAAAATTTTAAAAAATAGGGCCGGGGAATATCTCAGTGGTTCTGCTGCCTACCTTGCAAGCCCCAGTACCAAACAAACAAACAAACAAATATAAAAAAAAAGAAGAAAAAATGTCAGATGTGGTGGTGCACTCCTGTAACCCTGCACTTAGGAGACAGAGGCAGGAGGATTGCTATAGTTTGAGGCCAGCCTGAGCTAATAGCAAGACCTCATTTCCAAAAAAAAAAAAAGGCTGGGATTTAGCTCAGCAGCACAGCACCTGCCTGGCAAGCTCAAGGTCCTGCGTTCAATCTCTGGTACCAAAAAAAAAAAAAGGCTGGGATTTAGCTCAGCAGCACAGCACCTGCCTGGCAAGCTCAAGGTCCTGCGTTCAATCTCTGGTACCAAAAAAAAAAAAACAACAAAAAGGAGAGGAGGAGAGAAGAAAGAATTGGTGGGGGTGATAGGAGGAAGGGAGGGAAGGAGGGAAGATGAATGCTAGTGTCTCTGGGGTGCAGCCAGGACAGGAGCAGGCTTGTTGGATTCAAAAATTGGTCACCATGACCAAGCAGGAAGCTGTTTTGTGGCTGGCTGTTTACTCAGTGTCCCATGCAACAGACCCCTTGCTAGCCTACCACACCCATCCTATGCCCTAGCTCGCCTCCTGTCCCCTGCAGTGACATTTGATTTGTATTTTATTTTTATTTCTATTTTTTTGAGATAGGCTTTTGCTATGTAGCTCAGCTGGCCTCAAACTCAGGCAATCTCCCTGCCTCAGCCTCCTGAGTGCTGGCATTACAGGCATGTGCAGCCGCCACACCTGGCTTCCCAGGGGTGTTACAGAGGAGACTCAGGTTCTGCCTTCCCTGGAACCCAGAGGCCCTGCTTCCTGTGATGGTTTCTTCTCTGCACAGGGAGCCTGGCCTCCTCCTGCCTGAGTGAGGGTCTCTGATGTGAGAGGAGTGGGGCAAGGGGCATCCTCTGTCAGCACTGAAATTGTGTATTTTTTGGTTGTATTGCTGGAAGCAGAACCCAGGGACCTTGGAATGCTAGACAAGTGCTGTGCCCCCAAACTACATTCCTAACCAGAAACAGGAATTTTTTTTGAGATGTGGTCTCACTTTGTAGTTCAGGAAGTCACTCTGTAGCCCAGGCTGGCCTCCAGACTATGGCAGTCCTCTTGCTTCAGCCTCCAGAGTGCTGAGATCACAGGTTTGCATCACTACACTCAGTTTTGTTTTTCAAAAGTACTGCTGTGGACCCCAGCTTCAGCCATGATTTCTGGCAGCCGGTGGAACCTTCCTCCGGGTTCAGGTCACAGTTCCTCCAGGGAACCTCCTGAGGCCCAGTGCTGGGGAGCACCCCAGGTGCGGAGTGGCACCAACCCCTGGACCTCCCCCTCAGACCCCCCCCATACTCCCGAATCTGAATGTTTTTCTGGGATTTTCCCTGCAGATTCAATTATAGGAATCAGTGTAAGAATGAAGTTGTGAAACTGGAGTGGAGATGTTGGCTTTTTTCTTCTCTGTAAATCCCCACGGTGGGGTAATTGCCCTGGATGATCATCCCCACCCCCTACATCCCCTGGGGCACCTTGGGCTCCCCAGGCCCTCACCACACCCCCTCCTGGGAAGATAAGCACCATCCCCCGAGGGCACAGAGCTAAAACCTCTGCCTCTAGCCCTGGGCAGACCCCTGGGTGCTGGAGGAAAAGTCTGTGAGGTGATGTCCCTAGCCCTAGTCCCCACTAACCTGGCCCACAGCTCCAGGCCCTATGAGCTTTTCTCTGCTCCTCAGCAGCAGCTTGCTGGGTGCCAGGAAGACCTCAGCTCCCGTCAGAGTGGCGCCCTGTCCCTTGCCCCCACCCCACCCAGCAGGGTTCAGTCAGGGCTTACAGCAGACTCTTGTTAAATGTCCTTGAACCTGCAGCTTCCACTGTATTCTGATGCCAGGAGCAAACCAGAGTGTAGAGAAGGGAAAAGGTCAGCCTGAGCCAGGGTGCAGCTCCTCACTTACTTGAGTGAATGCCCGTGTAGTAGGTGCCATTTGGCCTCTGACAAGCCCTGCCTCTTTATTTCTGTGCTTGCTTGTTTGAGATAGGGTCTTGCTGGTGGCCCTGGCTGATCTCAAACCTGTGGCAATCCTCCTGCTTCAGCCTCCCAGTGCTGGGACACAGGCATGCACCACCACGCTGGCTACCTCTGTCCCTTAGGTCAGCACTCAGGACCAGGACCCGTCTGGTGTTGTCATCTACCCACTTCCGCCCCCACAGGGCCATCTTTGTTCCAAATCCCACAGTTTTCAAAGCCTATTTCAGCTGAGTCACTTCCTTTCCAAGCCTCTAGCTGAACCCCTAACTGTGCCCCCTAAAAAATGTAGGACTTTTCTCCCTCTGGCCTGAGGGGAGCTCATTCGGTGTCTCTTGGCCAAGTGTTTGCCTTCCTGAAGCTGCTTCCTCCCTCCTAGTGGGGAGACTGCATCTCAGTCAAGGGACAGTGCAGGCCCATGGCCTGCTATACAAAAAGGGCAAGGATGCTGGGGATTTAGCTCAGCGGTTCGGTGGCCTGCTTCGCAAGCACAAGGACCTGAGTTCGATCCCTGGTGGCGGGCGGGGGGCAGGCAAGGAGAGCCTGGCATGGTGGCATGTGCCTGGTATCCCAGCACTCTGGAGGCTGAGACAGGTGGATCTCAAATTTGAGCCCAGCCCAACTAACTTGGTGAAACCCTGTAGCTCAGGGTTTCTCTGGGAAGTAGCTTGTTTTGGCTTGGGTCTAGATGTCCCCCCAAAGCCTCATGCTCATAGGCTTGATCTAGAGTCTGTGAAACTGGAATTGACTGATGATGCAAGGCTAGGCTCAAGGGCACTAGGATTAAGGGTGTGAGTGCTTCCCGCTCTAAGTAGTCTGAATAAGATAAAAAGGGCAGGGAGAAGCTGGCAACTCTTGTTACCTTTGCTGTCTTGTGCGCCATGTTTCTGCTCTGCTATACCTGTTTGTTGTACCTGCTTTGGAGTTGGCTGATTATGGACTGAAACCTCTATGAACTGTAAACCAAATAAATCCCTTGCACCTCCAGCTCATTCTCCACCAAGGTGGGGCCCTGTGGCCCTCCCTAAATGCCTTGTTCCTGGGGGCTGCTTATCGGCCATGGGCACAGGGTTGCAGCCACCCTCCTTATCTTAGGTATAAGGAGCCCAAGGGGACCAGGCAGGGAGCCCTGGGTGGGGCAGTCTTGCCTGCTGATGGAGTTTGGACACCAGGAGCCACCTGTCTTCTGGACACTCCCCTAGTCTGTCTTCTCTGCACAGGGAGCAAACATCTGGTAAATGAAGGGTCCCAGCAGAGCCCAAGGGTTCCTGGGGTCAGTCCCTTCTCTGATCAGATAGAGTCAGCCTTTGTCGTATGTTTACCTCTCAGAGGTTCCATAGCAAGAATGGGAATAGAAGCCAGGTCTAGTGGTACACACCTGTGTGTCATCTGAGCACTCTAGGAGGCTGAGCCAGGAGGATCAGAAGTTCAAGCCCAGCTTGGGCATCTTTTTTTTTTGGTTTTTGAGACAGGGTCTCACTATGTAGTTGAGACTGCCCTGGAACTCACTATGTAGCCCAGGCTTGTCTCAAACTCACCAGTTTGGACATTTTAATGATTTAGCAAGACCCTGCCTCAGAATAAAAACATTTAAAAAGGGCTGGGGAGCCAGCTGGGTGTGGTGGCACACGTCTGTAATCCCAGCACTGGGAGGCTGAGGCCGGAGGATCGCTGTGAGTTCAAGACCAGCCTGGGCTACATAGTGAGTTCCAGGTCAGTCTCGACTACATAGTGAGACCCTGTCTCAAAAACAGAGGATATAGCTTAGTTTAAAGGCCCTGGGTTCAATCCCCAGTGCCTCCCCAGTGGGGAGGGAGAGGTTGGAGTTGGTAGGGAGCGTGTGTAAGTGTGCAAATGCTGTCCTCGGCCTCCTGTGTAAGTGAGAGCAAATGCTCTCCTGTGCAGGAAGTTAGGTCACTGAGGACTTGCCACGGATGGGGACAGTGGATGGGGACTCCGCCCCTTCCTCTCCATTTACTGCTGGGCTGCCCTGAGTTAAACAGGTGTCCTCTGTCACATGTCCCCTCCTGCAAGCCATGATATGCCAGGATCAGAGCAGTGGGGCCAGCTCACATGGACTGCAGCCCTGAAACTGTGAGCCCCAACATCCCTTCCTTCCTTAGCTGATGGGGCCTCAAGTCTCTGCCCCTGTGACACAAGCCAGGGGTTCTGCTGTCAGGCAGGGCTGCACCCGGTAAGATGTGAAGCAAGGAGCCCACGGGGTAGGGCAGGGCTGAGTTAGGGGCTGTGTCCTCCCCAGGTCTGCTGCCTGTGCTACAGCCTCCTGACCCTGGCCGGTGTGGTGGTCAGCAGCCAGGACGTCACTCCGGAGCACTGGGTGAGTGTGCCAAGGGTCCGGGAGGGCTACCACCTCCCCCTGAGTCCCACAGCCATTTCCAAGGGGTCTTAACCCGTGTCTCAGCAGTTGTCCCTATTCCCAAGCTGTCAATCAGTCACCCCCCGCCCCATACTTGGTCTCCTTTCTGCCTGCCCTGGGATGCGGGGAGTGCCCACCCCATGCCCCTACCTTTGACCTCCTCTTCCGCCTGGCCTGGCAGGGTGAGCTGCAGCTGCTGTGCATGCAGCTGGACTGCCACATCAGCACCCACATCCGGGAGAGCCCCCAGGCCATGCACCGCACCCGACTCAAGGACCTAGCCACCCAGACCTACATCCGCTGGCAGGAGCTTCTGGCCCACTGCCAGCCCAAGGTACCCCTACAGTCCCAGTCCCAGGCAGTAAAGGAAGTGGCTGGGCAGGGCTGGCCAGGGCCAGCAGCATGTCCAACCCCACCTGACAGTTGCTGCGTCCCTGGCCAGGACGAGTGGCCAGAGTGGAGGGGGATGTGAGGGGTGGGTATTGGGATTCTCAATCAGAACCCAGTGCCCAGGGCAGGGGGCATGGGGACTCCTGCAGGCTGGGGGTTGGCCTTTTACTCAGTTAGGAGGACCACTCCAGGCTGCCCTGTTCCCCTCTGATTTCTAGAGCAACGTTCTGTGTCTCCTATAATTTCTCAAACCCTCTCAGGAGGAACACAGCAAAACAACAACAAGAAACCATTTTTTAGTATTTTTAGTTTTTTTGAGACAAGGTCTCACTATGCAGTTCAGCCTGACCTTGAACTCACTGCATAGCCCAGGCTGGCCTTGAGCTCCTGGCAGTCCTCCTGCTTCAGCCTGCCAAGTGCTGGGATTCCAGGAGAACACCACCACACCCCATTTTAGTGAATTTGAGTTGTTTTGTTTTGGAGACAGTCTCACTATGTAGTTCCGGCTGGCCTTGAGCTCACTATGTAGCTCAGGCTGGATCCACCTGCCTCTGCCTCCTGAGTGCTAGGGTTACAGAAGTATACCACCAGCCCCAGCTAAAACTTGTAAATGGGACCTGTTTTTTGTGTGGGTCCGCATAATTGTCATGAGGCAGATAGTGTCGGGAACCCAAGTGCAGAAGAGGAAACCAACTAGGGGCCTGGAAGTTAAATAGCATGACCTGACCCACAGGCAGCTCCAGTGAATGTCACAATCAGTGCCCAGAGCCAGCCTGACCTGGGGCTCACACAGCCTCCCTCCTGGCCTCCGTGCCTCCTGCTGTGGTCCCTCCAGGCCTGAGCCTCTAGCCCTTGATGGGCACGCCCCTCCCTCCCAGCTTGAGAGATCCCGGGTGCCCCTCCTCGGCATCCCCTTCTTGCCTTTGCCCCATAACCTCTGACTTGGGCTGACACACTGACCACAGGCTGTGGCTTGGGGCTCAGATTTCGCAATTCCCTAAGAAAGCTGGAGCACAACTGGGCCTCCAGAGGACAGATCGCACCAGTTTCTGCTGGGAAGCTTGCATTTGTGGGGAGAAAGCACAGGCATTCGAAGTGGCCCCTGGGCGGGAATGGAGACCCTGTGGAGCTCTCCTGGCACAGGTGGCCCAGAGCCCTGACAGCCTTGCTCACACAGCATCCAGTGGGGCGTGGGCCAGGCCTGGGTGACTGCTGCCCATCTGGGGGCCTCAGGATGGTGGGCATTCCCTGGCCCTGCCATCACGGCCCCTTTTTGTCCCCCCTATAGGCCCAGTATTTCAGCCCCTGGAAGGACATCTGAGTGGGAGGTGGCCTGGGCTCCCAACTCCAGCCGGAAGTGATCAGGCTCAGGAAGCTGCAGCAGGCAGCTAGGGAGGCCAGGGGACACCCAGATGTGACCAGCCTGAGGAAGCAAAGAAGCTTGGACCTCTCTGTGCCATTGTTCCACCCCTACCCAGCAGGGGTTCTTGGGGCCCTGCCTGCCCTTCCTGTGGCTCCTCTCCCTCAAGGCCTCTGTCTCCATGGCTCTGGTTCCTGGGGCCTCCAGGGCCCTCCCAGCCAGCCACAGTTCTCCCCACCCCCTCTTCTCTCCCGTCACAAATGTGAGGTTCCTTTGTGCAAATTAAAGTCTTACTTCAGCCTCAGTGGCCAGAGACTTCCTGCAGTCCCTATCCCTGGGCTTATGCCTAACCCAGCTGACCCAGCCTGTGTCCTTACCTGGGTGGTGGCACTCTGGCTAGGGCCCTCTGCAAACCCTGGGCCAGAGCCAACCACCCCAGGAACAGGGATGGGGACATTTTCTGGAACCCAGCCTGGTACCTTCCTGCCCCTGCGGAGGAGGCTACACACCAAGATGGTGGACCTGGGCTATAATTATGTTTGATTCAATTTACCGTCAAGCTCTGCATTCAGCACTACAAACTTAGCAGCAGGGTGGGCCTGGAAGACATGTCCGGATCCTGCTAGTGCTTTCCCCAGCCTGGCCCCAGCTCAGTTCTGTGGGCCCCGATCTCTATGGGGTACCAGGTATCTCCCACCTGAACTCCTTGAGAACTGGGTGGCTCTCTGTGACCCCGGGAAGTCCTTGGATGTGTACCCATCTGCTGACCCTGAAAGCACACCAGTCTATTCTCTCCTGACTGGGTTGGGATGGGGCATACGAGGAAGCTGGAAAGTGGCAGAGGATTCCCCCTGCCAAAGTGGCCTGTGCCCACCCCTCTGTTCTAACCTGGGTGCCTACCTTGGACCTTCCCGTGGCTGCTGTATACAGCTTTTGCTATTTATTTAATACTGGGAATCAAACTCAGGACCTTGCACTTGAGAGGCAGGTGTGATGCCACTGAGCTAAATCCTTGGCCCTGCTATTTATTTTTGTATTTTGTTTTTGCTTTTGTTTTTGAGGCATGATCTGCTGGAGTCCTCCTGCCTCAGCCTCCCAAGTGCTGGGATGACAGGGGTGTATCACCACACCCAACTTCTTTTGCTGTCTTATGCAAAGGATTAGGGGAAAGTGGGCTAAATAGGAGACACCTGCCAAAGGACCTTCAGGCCCATGGCTCTGTGTGCATACCCCAAGTGCATCTGCCTCCCTTTTTGGGTCCCTAGGATGCCAGGAGCCATGGGTATCTATTATTCAGAGGGCACAGGCAGGGTCCAGTGCCAGGCATGACATAGGACATCTTTTCTGCCTCATAGCCTTTGTCATACGAGAGGTGGAAGAAACCAGTCCAGTGACTTGGATGCATGGGTGGCTGCGCTGTGAGTTCTGGTTTCTCTCCCTGGCCGTGTTGCTTGCCCCCTTGGCCGGGCACCACAGGCCTGCAGCACCAGGTCGGCTGTAGGTCCTTCTGTGAGGACTCAGGGACCTGAGGACCTGCCTTCTGTTCCTGTCCTTGCAGCTGCCCATTTCCAATACATTTCATGACAGTTACATCTTGAGTTACTCCATTTTTTCTGAAAACCTGGAAATCACCTTTGAAATTTCCCTGCTTTGTTCTTACTGCCAAGGGCAGGGAGGCCCAAGAAGCTGAACAGGGAGTTTCCAGGTCTTGGCTGGAGAAGGGGATGGAGCTGCCTAGCAGCGTGGACCCCAGAGCCCTATTCCCCAGCCTGGCTCCTTGCTCCCCAAACATGCTCATTCCCAAAAGAGAAACAGACACCGAGGACAGTGGAGGTGTGGGTGACAGTTCAGAGCCACTGGAGACCGGGCTGTAACCTGAGTAGAGGTGTGCACTGTGGGGTCACTGTAGGGTGCACAGTGTCCCTTGGGCTACATAACTAGCTACTGTGGACCAGCTGGGAACTGACCAGACCTAAAAGCCAGGGCAGCTTGGGCCCAGGCCCCCTCATGGACTAGAGTTCCCATGGGGAGGCCACCAGCAGTTTCACCCTTTGCTGTTTAGGTCTTTGGCCCCTAAACCCTGGGGACAGGTGGGGACATCCTGTTGAGAATCCCTAGAACAGCAGTATCCAGAGCTGTGCTGACCAGTGTCTTCCTGCTTCTTTTGGCTGCTGGTGTCTGGCAGGGGCTGGGAAGGGAAAGGCTTCCCAGATGGATGGCGTCGATAACTCTCCTCTTGAAGGAAGTAGAGGGAGGAAGTCCTTTTCCTACATCCCTGCTGCCTGGGTCCCAAGCTTGCAGAAAGCTCCTGGAAGGGTGGGTGACCTGGGCTTTTCCACATCTCCAGCATTGTTGGACAGCAGCTCTGGAGATGGGTCAGGTAGCCGTCACTGGAGACCCAGTGAGTACAGCAGGGCTCTCGTCCCTCCTACCAGAGAGCCACTGGCAACTGTGGCAGGTTATTGGCTCAGGTGAGCCCATGGCCTACATGGGGTGGGGGGCTTGGGATCTGCTTCTCTGGGGAGGCCCTTAGCACATATTTGCATTTCTCCTACTTGGTCACCAGCATTTAGGAAAATGCAGCGACCACGGTGTCTGTCAATACCTTATAATGGGTTCCTTCCATAGCATGTGCCTGTGGGCCCCAGGGAAACCAGATGGGTCCGTGAGCGTTGCCCCTCTATTAGTAGGGTCTCACTATGTAGCCCACGCTGGCCTCAAACTCAAGGTAATCCTGTTTCAGCCTCCTGTGCACAGGGATCACAAGTGTGTGCCACCCTACCTGGCAGTCATTTTTTCTTAATGGAAGACCCAGAAATCTTTATTTTTCAACCAGTTGTCCTTTTATTTAAAAAGCATGAATCATGAACAGTCATGCAAGGAAACCTCATCTTTTGCCCACCCACCGCTGGGCCAGTGTTGGGAATGAACAGTGTCCAGCAGGAAGTGCAGGTGGTGGAGGGAGGGGAGCCACCTCCCCTTCTGCCCACACCCTTGGCTTGGGGAACAACCTCGGTACCTGCCACTGAGGTACAGAAAAAGCCTGTCCCTGCTAGTGAAACCAAACTGACTTTTGAAACTTTCCACTGGGCCACTTTGGAGGATGGGTGAGCTGGGCAGGGAGCTCAGGTCTCTCTCCCTGTAACCCTCCCCCCGGAGGCTGGGGGTGGCTTAAGGGTGAGGACAGACAGGAAGTGGATAATTGTCAGGATATATGGCCACTTATGGAAAAAACAGATTGGAAGTCTATTCATTTTATCTTTAAAAAAATTTTTTTTGAGATGGGGTTTTCACTATGTTGCCCAGGCAGAGCTCAAACTTACAGGCTCAAGCAACAAAGCAACTTTTCTGCCTCAACTTCCTCAGGAACTGGAACTACAGTTGTCTTCCCCTATACCCAGCTTCAGGACCTAATGTACTACTACTATTATTATTACTTAGTTTTTGAGACAGGGTCTCACTATGTAGTTCACTTCAGGCTGTCCTTGAATTGTGTAGCCCAAGCTGGCCTTAAAATCATGGCCATCCTCCTGCCTCAGCCTCAGAGTGCTGAGGTTATAGGCATGTACTACCATACCCAGCCCCAGATCTAATTTAAAATTTTCCACCTTGATTATGTGAATTTGAGCCAGATGCCTCATCTTATTGATATAATAAATGGGAGAAACAATACCAACTTTGTAAAAGGTGGAATGAGGGAATATGAAGGCAGGTTGCAAAATCGAACCATAGGAGCCAGGCATGGTGATGTGTGCCTATAATCCCAGCACTTGGGAGAGTGAGGCAGGAAGATCCGAGTTCAAGGCCGGCCTGAACTATATAGTGAAACTGTCTCAAAAAAAAAAAATCTAGGAAGAACGTGGGGACAGCTGCCCAGCCATGTCCCCCCACTTTAGTGGGTGTGGGCTCACTAGATGAGGGCAGGGGTTGTGCATCTTCTCCCTCCTGGCAGGGACAGCAGGGAGGCTGTCCTGCCCACCCCACACTCATCATCATCTCTGTCCCCTCTCTCAGCATCTCCGAGGCCACAGCCTTTTTCCTGGTGGAAAGGAGCTGAGCAGTTTGGCTTGGCCGGCAAGAGAGAAGGGGCCTTTATGTGCACCAGCAAAGACCTGATTGTTATGAAGCCCAACTGGGCTGCTTTTCTCAATTATCTCCGCTGCTTTTCTGGTCTCCACTTTTCGGATGCCAAGTTTTCACCCAGAACAAAAGCTGCTGTCGAGCTGATTTATACTCCAGATCTGCTGACAGGGCCTGAAGTGCCTCTCCAGGACTGCTCTGGCTCAAAGTCACCCGTGACTGGTAGCTTCAGGGCCTCCAGTCCCCACCAGTGCCCCTTGCCTCCAGCCAGGGGGTGGCATCTGGCTCCAGGTGCCTTCGCGTGACTACTCTGAGGGTCCTCTGTCCACCTGCACGGCTCTGAGGACCAGCTGGCCGGAAGGAGGGCTTGCCAGGCAGCACCGCCCAGACGGGGGACTCCAAGTTACTCTAGGAGAAGCTGTGGGCGGAGGCAGACAGTTGGGAAGGTGGCAGCGATCTCAGCGTGGCTCTTTGAGCCCCTTTCATCTGAGCAGCAGGCTCGTGCCACTTGTTAACCATCCTGCCTGTGGCACCAGAGGAGTCATTTCCGGGGGGCAGGCTCTGCGTGAAGCCCCAGAAACCAGGAGTCGACTGGGTGACCTCGGGGGGGTCTCCCTGGCCTACAAGGCTAGTTCCAGTCTAAGGCCTTTGGGACCGAGAAAGGAGGCAGACTTGGGGGCCAAGAGACCAACTGGTCTCCCAAGAGAAGCCTTGATTTCCTGCGCCGCGCACCCCACCAGCGTTCCTGTAAGTGGGACGTGGGGAGCCACTGAGCCCTATTCCCGAGCTCGGTCCACCGCAGGTTTCCGGAGGGACACTTCGGAGCGACCAGGTGATTCTGATTCCCGGGTGGTGCTGTCCAGAGCCCTTCCCTCGCTCCACCTCCCCCCGCCCCCGGGCGCCGTGGGCAACGGGTGAGTCCAGCGCGCGGAGCAGCTGGGCAAGGGGAGGAGAGCACACCCGAACCCCCGGGCGGA